AACAACATCTGTCAACATCACTAAACATCTGTAAACAACACCTGTCAACCACACTAAACATCTGTAAACAACACTAAACATCTGTCAACAACATTAAACATCTGACAACAACATCAAACATCTGTCAAAAACATCTGTAAACAACAACACTGTTTACATCACATGACCAGTGTACGCGACGTACAGGCAGAGCATCAGATTCATCTTGTGGATCTGAACCTGCTGGAGGTGGAAATAAGTTAATAATTATTATTTTGTTATCATTATGTTTGTTGTTGTTTGTGTTGGACTGGTTGAGAACAACATGTTAAGATCATAAACTCTGAGTTCCTCTTCACTTCCTGTCATTGTCACCTGCAGATCCTCCCAGGTATCGTTACAGCCCTGAGCGTCGCAAGAAAGCTGCGTCCTCTCAGTGTAAAGACGCTGGACGGGGACGTGAGTCTGGTGGCACACACACTTTCTTCAGCGTTTTCATGTTCTGCTAATGTTTGACTGAACACTTTTCTTTCTTCTTCAGAACCGAACAATCAAGTCCTAAAATCAGTCGTCAGAGGTTTGTTTGTTTGTCAGTCAACTGATTGTTTCACAAATCTCTTGTTATTTTTTACATCAATTTAATTTCACTACTTACCACATGAATCAGAAGCTCACATGATCATTTGTTATGTCAACAAAACATTTTTATCTGTTTGAACCTAAACACTTCTTTCTTCTTCTTCTTCTGATGCTGCTGCTGCTGACCTCAGACATCTTTCAGGTGAGCTTTATACTTTTCTCTGTTCTTCTAACCAGTCTGTGATTAAGACATCGTTCAGACACTGAATATTATTTTAAACCTATTACAGTTTTTTACACTTGTTGAAACACGTTTTTTGAATCCTCCTGTCCTTTTCTCAGAATTCTAAACACAAAACTCTTTTCTCAAACTACTCTCACAAAACCTCTGATTATTTTTGCAAAACCACACCATCGCCTCAAAATAGTTTCACATGTGCTCAAAACCAAACAATGTTGTCAGACGAATCGGTCAAAATAGAAAAACTGCTGCGCTGTCATTAAACACTACAACAAAATATTGAAAACACAGTGATCGAGGCCTGTTGCTCATGGAGAAATGTTTATTGGTCACCATAAAGAACTTTACACAGTTGATCATTGAGCTTCATCCTGTCTTTGGGCTGGGTCAGGCCACAGCTCTTTTTGCCCCTTTCCAGGCAACGGAAACCTCCTCTTACACACACTCGTCCTCTGTGTCTCTGATCCGTTGTTGTCATGAGCTTGCAGGACCAACCTGCTGCACTCTGAACTTATATTGGTTTTCATGTTGTCATGACATGATGAGAAACAAGTGTGATCAAGTTTGAATCGTTGTGTTCAATGGATGACTCATGTGTTTCACTTGTGTTCATATTTTGCCGCTGGTTTTTACCGTTATGCATCACAGTGACATCAGTGCATCACAGTGACAACTGTGTTTTATTGCACGAGAATGTGTTTAGAGTTTTGCAAAAGGAAGGACTGAGATCTGCAGATAGTGTTTTACTAAGTGAAGATAGTTTATGGTTTTGTCAAAATGATGCTCAATTCAGTGAATGAGTTTAGACAACTGAGTAACTGATTCACACAACAGGAGTTAAGTCTTTTAGCAATTCAGAAAAAACTGTAAATAACTTATATTAAAACCATCACAGTAGCACCCTCTGTGGGCAGTGATTGACATCTGACCCCTGCAGGTCTCAGACAGGGAGTGGGGGTCACTGTTTAAGAGACGCCCTCTGCAGGCCACCATCAGTGGCAGCACGCTGGCGTCCGGTCAGGACGAGTCTGAGGTGGACGGACCAGCTGGGCCGCCAAGGGGGGAGGGGGAGGAGCGGCTGATCTGCAGCAAGGAAGGGGAGGAGGGGAGTTTGTCTCTGCAGCACCCTCACCAGGCAGCGGAGAGCGAGCTGGAAGAGATCCTTCTGGAGGACGACCAGGTAGACGACTTCACCAGCTCCATGCTCGCCGCCTTCGACTGCTGGCCCCATAGGTTCCAGAATTGTCCGTCCACCGCGGTGACGGTGAGGCTTTCTGCCGCCAGCCTGGTCGTCTTCCTTATTGAGCCGCCTTACGGCAACGCCCTAACACGTCACATTTAACAGCCGCTCAACGACCAATGTGGAACTAACACCGGAACACATGTACCACACGGATCACGACCCTCTGGCAGTGATGACGAAACCGTTCTAGCTCCAGTTCTTCAGGTGTTCTGGAGCTGGAGATGAACTGATTCACTGTGTCAAGAAGTAGAGTTCTTTAGAGGTCAGACGTAGGACGTCTATAGGTTCTGTAGATTTACATGGATCTTAAGGCTATGTCAGTTCTGTAGGTTCTGAAGTGTCTTATGGTTCTGTAGGTTTAGAAGGTTCTGATGTTTCTGTAGGTTTTGAAAGTCCCGTAGTTTAGGAAGATTTTGTAGATTCTGAGGATTATGAAGGTTCTTTAGGTTTTGAAGGTTCTATAGGTTGGTTCTGTGGGGAATAATGTTTCTGTAGGTTCTTGAGGTTGTGAATGTTCTGTAGATTCTGAAGTGTCTCTCTAGGTTTGGAAGGATTTGTAGGCTTTGAAGGTTCTTATGGTTCTATAGGTTCTTATAACGCAAACTACAGATAAACATGAACCTGAGCGTTAGAAAGCTCCTGGAGTGAAACATCGTACAGCTCTGCTGTCAGCAGGACCTGAATCTGACCTTTATGTTAAGCTAACAGGCTAACCATTTCCCTCTGCTTCCAGTTTTTATGCTAAGCTAGGCTAACAGTTTCCCTCTGCTTCCAGTCTTTATGCTAAGCTATACTGCAAGGGTTCTGATGAAATGATGTGACATGTCTGAATGGCAGAACTTTATTTCTGAAGAGCAGCACGTTTGTTTTGTTTATTTGTTTACTTGTATGTTTGGTTTCAAACGCTGTTTCATTTGAAGCTGATTTTGTATCAAAGCGTCATTTCGCTATGGCATCAATCTACGAATAAAGTTTTATTTGTGTCTGAAGTTTCTTCTCCTAACACAAAGAAGGTGAAAAGTTCAAAACTTATAACATGTTTAAAATATATAAAACAGTAGAACTTGTGAACTAATCCTTTAAATAAACAGTGACACTCTTTTGTTTGTTGTTTTTTATGTTTACTTTGTTTTGATCAGCTGATATTAAAGTTGTTTGTTGCAGGACGGCAACGATGTCTCATCACTCGACTTGAACAAAGAAAAAGGACAACCTCCTGAAAAAGATGGTGGAGCTGAAGTGACGTCTGAGCAGGTGAGTATCAGCACAGGACTTGCTCTTAAAATATTTGCAACTTTTTTAATTTTTTGTAGTTTATCTGTAAAAAACTTCACTAAACCAGCCGCACAAACTCGTCTCTGAATCGTCAGCTGGCATTTAAATATTTTAGACAGTATTTCATTTCTAATTATTATTTGGATTTTAGTCGTCCACAGATGAGCTGCTGCAGGAGAAGACATCTGAATCTGGACTGACAGAAAATGCTGAACCAGACTTTTTGGATCTGGAGCCTCCTACGATCTCAGTGTCTCCTCAAAGTTCTGAAAAACTGAAACCTGAAGGAGATCCAGCCCCCACAGAAGAACCACTGTCTGCCACGCCAGATTCAGATTCAAGAACCTTGAGCAGTGCGGAATCATCTGAAGAAGAGGAGGATGACAAGGAGTCGTCAGAAAAAGAGGATGAAGCCACCAGTATTCTTCCATCTTCTGTTCTGGACAAAGCCAGCTCCATCGCTCAGCACTTCACCAACAGCATCAAACGAAGCAGCGCAGCTCCAGACAAAGCCCGCACCCTCGGCTGTGCTTCTCCACGGTTACCGAGCAGAACCAGCAGCAGCCTCAGTCTCAGTGCAGAACCCATCGACCGACCTTTAAGGTTCAACAGCGTCTGTTCTGATCCTGCGGAGACCTTTGGAGCAACAGATTTGACTCAGTTATCTCCTCAGGACGACAGCCTTTTTGACGCTGACAGAAGCATTCAACGGAGGCGGGACTCCATCCTGTCCAAACAGGACCAGCTGCTCATCGGCAAAATCAAGAGTTACTATGAGAATGCCGAGAGCCAGGATGCCACCTTCAGCCTTCAGCGCAGAGAGAGTCTGACATACATCCCAACTGGGCTTGTCAGGAGTTCGGTTAGCCGCCTCGACAGCATTCCGAAGGATAACCACGTCCAGAAGAATCCCTCCACCTTGACTACATCCTCCAGTCTTGACCCATCATCAGTGGAGTTACACTCAACTTTACCCACAGACACCAGCGGTCACTTGGTTTCCAGTGACTCTTTGGACTCTTTAAAGTATGATCAGAGAAGCTCAGATTCAGAAGAAAGCCTCAGATCTCAGAGCCTGCAGACGTTTCCATCTGAGGACGAGGAGTTCAGACCCTCATCTGAAATGATCAAGGTCTGGCAGACGATGGAGCAAAAGATCACCAGATCTCAAAGCGACAACAGAGGTTGCCATGTTCCGAGAAACTCCAGAGAAACTGACGGCATCACAAAGATCCCGAACAAGACCTGTGAGCGAGAGAGTGAAGTGTCTGACCTCAGCACCTTCCCAGAAAAATTAATGAGCCCTTCAACACTCAAGCAAAAATCCTCAGACACGACTCATAAAGGAAGTCTGAAGGTTTTCAGGGAAGAGGCCGTCATCCCTAGGGCTCCGGTTCTGCGGGTCACTCAACTGAGCGCAGAGGCAGAAAGGCCCCGTGAGGATTCAAGCAACGACATGGACCAAACGAAGAGCAAAGTCCTCCACCTGGCTCGCCAGTACAGCCAGCGAATCAAAACGACACAACCAGTGATGCGACAACGAAGTCAGGGCATCTTGATCAGCAAGAAGAGTTTACCCTGCGTGGTGGAGGAGACGGAGGGTTCAGGTACGTTGTCAGAGTGTCAGACCACATCACAGATGTTTTTACAAAGATGATTGTCAGATTAAATATGTGTCTGTTTCATCAGTCCACACCTGGACCGTTCAGAAGTTAGCCGTGGGCCATGTCAGGTGCCGCCTCTGTCAGAGGGAGTGCTCAATGACTGCGAAGGCTGGTTGTCCCGTCCTTACCACTGGCGCCTAGCAACAGAGACGCAGTTTTTTGTCCTCTCAAGCAAGAAATCTCAAGTCTGTCTTGAGGGAATTTCTTCACATTTTTAGCAGTTGTCATTTAGACTCAAAAATTAACTGATTCGATTTCGGTGGACGAGGGTCAAAGCTCACGTGACCTGATTTTATTTTTAATGTAATATATAAGGAAGGAACTGAACCTGCTCTTGTTGATGGATACAAACAGCCACAGGACAGTGATTCCAGTTTAGATTTCTCTTAAGATGCTTTCAGACCTGAACTCCTCAGTTCTCTGGAGGACGAACTCAAATGTCTGAGTGAGACTCAGTTTGTCTGTCTCCTCCCTCACTCCTGTATAAAGTCTAAGTCCAGGAGAAGTGAGGACACAGCAGAGCGTCCTCCACTGATCCACTGGGAGGGAGTGGGGGGGTGATGAGCTTCTAACACGTGACACAAACACGAAGAAACACAAACAAATGTCTCTGGTGACAAAGTGCTGACACACACGTAGAAGACACAGACGAAGACGTGAAGACAGTTTGTGGTGATGAGAGCTGACGACGGTGTCAGGTGATGTAAACATGATCACATGATCACTTCCTGTCTGTCTGCTCCACCTCTCACCTGAAGAACGAGGAGGATCTGATGCTGAACGAGTCTGAGCAGAAAACCTGCTGCTGAGTTGTTCAGCTGTGAAACATGAACTCTGGAGACGAGTCTCTGGAGACAAGTCTCTCTGGATTCTACCTGGAGCTCATGTGTGAAGACAGCTTTAAAGAATGACAGAATCTTGCAAGTGTTTTATTAGAGGATTAAACAGGTTATAATAAAAATCAAATGTTAAAACACTGATTGTTTTATATTTTCCAGGTAAATCGGACCTGACCCTGGCGCTGGTTGCTCAGCTTAAGGCTCCTTCTCTACAGCTGAGCCCCACCGACCAGACCCAGCCTCCAACCTCCATTCTCAGCTCAGGTTTGGTCTCCAGTGGTCCGGCTCCCTCCTGCAGCCACCTGACTCCTCCTCTCATCGAGGGCTTTAACTGGCCTGACGTCCGAGAACTCCGCTCCAAATACTCCGACCAGAAGAGTCCTGTCAACCGGAGTCACTCGATCCCGGAGCAGATGTTTGACTGGGGTGTGAGGAGACACTCCAGCTGCTCCTCCAGTCCCTCCTTCACCGAAGGAGCTTCTGGCAAGGGTCCTTCATACAAGACTCGCCGCAGCCAGGACACCAGCCGGCGAGAACGCAGCAAACGGCTTCATCGAGCCAATTCGCTCGACCCTCAACTCAGCGGAGCTCAAATGTCTGAGCTGCAGAAGCTGAATGATCTGGTGACTGACACCGAGTATGACGGTTACTTTATCGCAGCTGAGACCATGTTACCCAATGACCCTGAACACAAGATCACTGTCATCGAGAAACTTCCAGAGCCTGAGTCCGAAGAGACAGCCTCGTCATCAAAAGAAGAAGAAGAAGAAAATTACGTTCAGATCCGTTCACCAACTAGCAGGGAGAAGATCTCCATCATGGCTGTCATCGACCGCTGCCGAGCCTATCAGGAATCTGACGAATACAAACAGAGAGAGGAGGGTAAAAGTAAAAGTGAGTCTGTGAGGCCTCAAGACCTCGACAAGACAACAGTGTTTCTCACCAATCAGGAGGAAGAGTCCCAGAAAACAAATGTGGGACAGAAGACGGAAGTTGGAAATCAGAGCATCGTAAAGAACCTGAGAGAAAAGTTCCAGAGTCTGAGCTGAATAACATTTTTAAAATACTGTGAAGCGTTGAATCAGCGAGGAACCCAAAGAACGTTTGTGTTTAATTATATCAGTAGTGAACAGATTACTTTATTATTATTATTGTTATTAATTAGAAACCATGAGATTGAGATCATAATAACTCAAACCAACTTGCCAAAAAAATCTCTTGTGCTGTAAAAACAACAGAAACCAATATTTTGTGATTCTTTGGTTGTTTTGTTAAATATTTAGAAACATATCAAATATTTTTATTGTGGAAAATGTCTTCAATCAGGAATGCTGCGGGATCTTTTGTGTATTTTCCTCTTTACAAACATTAAGAATCATCACTAAACTGTAAAAGCTTCATATGTGACAGTTATAACTGTTTTTTTACTGTAAAAAATTGAAGCTTAACAATAACCACTACATTTTCACGTCACTTTGTTCAGTAACACGTTTGAAAGCATCACAGAGATTGTGATATTCCCTCAGTGTGTCAGGACGGCTTTGCTTAGCTTTATTTAGCTTAGCACAAAGACGACGCAGAAGCAAAGCTCTTGTGTTTGTATGACATGGTTTTATCATCACGTCAGATTTTTATTTAACAAGAATTAAATTCAAATGTTCATTTAATGTGTTTTTAGTCTGAACGACAAACTGTCTGAGTGTCGACATGCACAGAAACGAACAGAGGGCGAAACCTGCTTCATCAAGAGATCAATGAAAATAAAAACAATTCGTGAAATCATCTTTTTTTGTTTTAAATAACTATTAACTTCTCTCAGCAGATTTTTATTAGTAAGAATTATTTTCTTCATGAGCAAAACATGAAAATAAACCTGGATGTTTGAATATTAATGATGATTAATTGAGTTTATTTCTGTTTTGGTTTATTTTACTTTCTGATTGGTCTGAAGTTTATTTCATTAATTGATTGAATGTTGTTTATTGATTTCCTGATAAACAGCTGTTGTCCTCCATACACACTAATGAGTTTGTTCGGCACACTGGCATATTAGAGACTTGAATCTGTGGCGTTCCAAGTCCTGTTTACTACAAATGATGTAAACACAAAAACACACTGTCGTTGTCTGTGTCTGTCTGCGTGTGTGTGTGTGTGTGTGTGTGTGTATGTGTGTGCGTGTGTGACGTTGAACCTGAATCATCACCTTGATCTGGTCAGATGAATTTACCGACACTCAGACCGGAAATCATCCCGCCTTCACAATAAGAGCGTTAGAGTAATGAACAGAGTGTTTTGTTGTGAAACAAACAAATAAACAATCAGAGTGGAGCAGATAAAGATCAGAGAGCAACTGAGAGGACGTGACTTTATTTTCATTCAAATTAAAATCACATTCAGTGTGGTTCTTAGCCTGAGGCTTTTATTGTGAAGGCTGCAGTGCTTTTCCTGTGGCGTGCTCGTGAACACAGTGCGTGTTGACGCAGCGGGTGGGAGCTGGTGCGTCAGGAGGAGAGAGATGCCACAGCATCATCTTCATCACCGTCTCCTCTTCCTCAGTGTCCGCCCAGAGCTGCCTCCTGTCGGCCTCAACACGCCGCTCCGCCCCGGTACCTCTTCCATGGTCTGTCCGCCTCCCAGCGCCTCATCCCGGGCTTTAATCTGAGGAGGAGAGGGGGAGGAGAGGAAGAGAGGCGGAGGAGAAGAGGAAGAGAGGCGGGGAAGAGAGCAGGAAGAGAGGTGGAGGAGAGGCGGAGGAGAGGAGGAAGAAAGGAGCGGCACCTGGAGGTAAGAGCTGCGGGAGGAGGGGGAGGGGGACCGGACTCTCCCTGTCTCCTGGAGCCGAGGATGAGGGCCGGAGAAATGATGATGATGATGATGATGATGATG